AACGGAGGGTTCGAGGATTGGTTCCTGAGTCTAGATGTAACAAAAATATTTTGTCATCTGTTGCTTTTTCTTGTGTTTAGTCCTTTCATTATCTTTCCAATATTTTAACATAAGCCCTAGGGAGCAATCGGGGAATGTTATTCCTGCTAGCATTATCCTTTTTATGCCCTACCTTATTTGGGGTATTTCCCATCTTGGGGGTTTTGTGGTGAGGCTTAATTTTCCCTGTTGGAAATTTCTTGCCTTCCCGACTATTGGAGGTTTGTGTGAGGCTCAGTGACCCCTACTGGAGATTTCTTGCCTTTCCTTTCCTAGAGCCTCCACGGACCCCCACCACTGGAGGTTTCTTGCACTCTTCTCCTTTTGCTTCATCTTCTCTGGCCACTTCCCCAGAGGAAATTTAGGTACCTCTTAACATTGGTGGATCAGTATAAACCCCTTATGGGACCTCTGAAGGGCCACCATAAGCCATATGAGTTGACCACGGAACCGTAGATTGGACTCACTTACTCCGCACAGCAGTAGTGCTTGTTACCATTCACGCGCTTTCAACCTCCAAGATATCCAGACCATCAAGGAAGCACTTCACTGCCCCAGTGGCTTTTCTTACCTTGGTCTGTGCACAGAGTTACCTGGTCGCCATGGTATTTGTAGGCCTTCTCTTCTCACATTGCTGAGATTCCAGGTTAATTCGTCACAGCGGGTGGGTCTCGATCTCCAGCCTTTGAGGCCACTGTACCGAGTCAGTGGGATGCATCCTCTCCCAGAAGATGACTAGAGACCCTTCCCTGGAGGAGAATGGGATCCTGGTCAGGGCCCCCAAATTGTTAGAAATGAGCTGGGAGTCGCAAAGAAAACGAACACTCAAAAGACTTCTCAGCAAGGCAGATTTACTTCTGAGAAGGGTGCTGCCTGTGTCAGTCACAATCACAAAAGCACACCAAACAAAGGAAAGCAAGGGTTTTTATTCCTAATGTTGTTACCGTTCCTGTGTCCTCCCTGCCTCCCCCCCACCTTCCCCGTTAATTGGGGTCAGACCTCACAATCTAAACTGATCCTGATTGACTAGATTTAGCATTTAGAATAGGACAGAGAACCAGGAAGTTTATTGTTTGTACCTATTAACTTTAAGGCAGTGTGGGTCGGCTACAATCTTGGTGGATGGAGGCATGCCTGGGCATGTTAAAGGCAGGAAAGATTACTTATAAAATAGAACAAAGAACAAGGGGGGTCAAACCCTTTGAAGAGAAACTGTTCCTAACAACTAGGTTTTCTTCTAGGGCTTTTATGGTTTTAGGTCTTACGATTAAGTCTTTAATCCATCTTGAGTTAATTTTTGTATAAGGTGTAAGGAAGGGGTCCAGTTTCAGTTTTCTGTATATGGCTAGCCAGGTTTCCCAACACCATTTATTAAATAGGGAATCCTTTCCCCATTGCTTGTTTTTGTCAGGTTTGTCAAAGGTCAGATGGTTGTAGATAGGTGGTGGTATTTCTGAGGCCTCTGTTCTGTTCCATTGGTCTATATATCTGTTTTGGTACCAGTACCATGCTGTTTTGGTTACTGTAGCCTTGTAGTCTAGTTTGAAGTCAGGTAGCGTGATGCCTCCAGCTTTGTTCTATTTGCTTAGGATTGTCTTGGCTATGTGGACTCTTTTTTGGTTCCATATGAAATTTTAAGTATTCTTTTCCAATTCTGTGAAGAAAGTCAATAGTAGCTTGATGGGGATAGCATTAAATCTATAAATTACTTTGGGTGGTATGGCCATTTTCACAGTACTGATTCTTCCTATCCATTAGCATGGAATGTTTTTCCATTTATTTGTGTCCTCTCTTATTTCCTTGAGCAGTGGTTTGTAGTTCTCCTTGAAGAGGCCCTTCACATCCCTTGTAAGTTGGATTCCTAGGTATTCTCTTTGTAGCAATTGTGAATGGGAGTTCACTCATGATTTGGTTCTGTCTGTTATTGGTGTATAGGAATGCTTGTGATTTTCGCACATTGATTTTGTATCCTGAGACTTTGCTTAAGTTGCTTATCAGCTTAAGGAGATTTGGGGCTGAGATGATGGGGTTTTCTAAATATACAGTCATGTTATCTACAAAGAAAAATAATTTGATTTCCTCTCTTCTTATTTGAATACCCCATATTTCTTTCTCTTGCCTGATTGCCCTGGCCAGAACTTCCAATACTATGTTGAATAGTAGTGAGAGAGAGGGCATCCTTCTCTTGTGCTAGTTTTCATAGGGAATGCTTCCAGTTTTTGCCCATTCAGTATGATATTGGCTGTGGGTTTGTCATAAATAGCTCTTATTATTTTGAGATATGTTCCATCAATACCTAGTTTATTGAGAGTTTTTAGCATGAAGTGTTGAATTTTGCCAAAGGCCTTTTCTGCATCTTTTGAGATAATCATGTGGTTTTTGTCATGGGTACTGTCATATCTTTGTTTTCCATCAGTTCAAAATGATTTATAATGTTCCTTGTATTCTTTGACCTGTGAATTATTTGGAAGTGTGTGTTTAATTTCAAAATATTTGTGACTTCTAGGTATTTTATTTTTCTAATACCTGATTTCATTTAGTCAGAGAACATACTATGTAAACCTTAAATTTTGAAAGTTGAACTTATTTTATAGGCCAGCATATTCACTTGATGAATGTTCCATGTACAGAATGTTGGCTGTAATGTTCTGTAAATGTCATGTTTGAGTTAATTGTGCCAAGATAGTTGATAGAGTTTTTTCGACCTTCTACAGCTGTGGTAGATGGAAAAAATGGTCCCTGCAAGATGTCCATGACCTAATTCTCAGAACTTGTGAATATGTTACCTTACATGGTGAAAAGAGTCTTTGTAGGTATTATTAAGTACCTTGAGATGATGGGTAGTTAATCCTGGATTATCTCTGTGGGCTCATTTTAATCAAAAGGGTTCTTACAAAACATGTGGCAAGGTCAAAAGCAGAAAAAAGAAATGGGACAATGGAAGCAAAGGATGGAGAATGAAGTACACTGAAGATGGAGGAGGGCCTCAAGTCCAGAAACAGGAAGCCTCCAGAAGGAAGGCCAGTACCTTGATTTTAGCTTAGTAAAACTGATTTCAAACTTTTGGCTTCTTAAAACTGTGATAAAATAAGCCATGCAGTTTGTGGTAATTTGTTAAGGTAACTTCAGGAAACTTACAGAGAATTTGGTATCGGGAAGTGTGGGGTGCTGCTATAACCAATACCTAAAAATGTGAAAGTGGCTTTGGAGTAGGGTAGTGCTTAGAGACTAGAAGAGTTTTGAGGAGCATGCTTTATAAAAAGGCTAGATTGACTTGAACAGACTCTTAGTAGAAATTTGGAAGTTAAAGACTGCCCGTGGGGGTTAAAAGGAAATGAGGAGCACAGTGGAGAAAACCTACCATGGACTTAATACCTAGATCATAAACAAACTTTTGGTAGAAATATAGACATTAAAAGCATTGTTGGTGAGGACTTGAAAGGAAGTGAGGAACATGTTATTGGAAACAGGAGGAAAGGGGATTTGTGTTATATAGTGGCAGGAAGTTTAATTGCATTGTATCTTACAGTTACATGGAAAGCAGAACTTGTAAACAATGAATTTGGATTTTGTTTGACTTATGAGATTTTATTTCTTCTTTTTATTTTTTGGAGTCAAAGTCTGGCTCTGTTGCCCAGGCTGGAGTGCAGTGGCACAATCTCGGCTCACTGCAACATCTGCCTCCTGGATTCAATCAATTCTCATGCCTTAGCCTCCTGAGTAGCTGGGATTACGGGGCGTGTGAGTTTTCTGAGCAAAGTGTTGAAGGTTTGGCCTGATTTCCTCTTGCTTCTTTTTACAATGTGAGAAAAAGAAAAACTGAAGAAGAAACTGTTTAGCAGAAAGGAATCAGGACTTAATGATTTAGGCAATTCTCAACCTGTCCAGATTGCAGAAGACTCTAGGAGGCTCACTGTCAGAAGAGTATGCAGAGAAAGTCAAGATTTTGGCTGGACACCCTTTTGCTACTGCCTTGGAAGGATCAAATGTCTCAGTATCCAGTCACATGGAGGGCTCTTTGAAAACACTAAGCATAGGACTCTCTTTCAGCAGGAAGTTCCCCTGTTTAGCTTTAGTGTGTAGATCCTGGCCTCTTCTTTTAAGCTGCGATTTCAATGACAGTTTACTTTTCAGAGCTCTTACAGTGCCATACTGCTTAGCTTCACTCTTCTGGCTCCACAGGGTCTCCCATTTAGCCCCTGCAGGTGCCACCTCAATCCCCAGTGCTATTGGGTGGGAAATTCAGGAAAAGTTGGCCTATGGTCACTACCACTGCAACAGATTGGGCCTGCCATTGCCCCAGATGTCAGATGAGCACCCAACTGATAGTGCTGCTGTGGTGAACTGGGCCCCCGATCCTGCAAGTATAGAATTGGGGGGTTAGCCACCACTGCTACAGGTTTGGGGCAACAGACAGGTGCCTCGGCTTCCATGGCACCCAGTACATTTTTGGTCATGCTGTGCCTTGATCCTTTTGAATTAATGTACATATATATTTACATATATATAAAATGCTGCAAATTCTTAACCAAAGCTGAGAACACTGAATGTTTCAGCTTCAAGTTTTAAATAAACTCAGCAATTGGAAGAGCAAGTTAGCAATCTGAGTTATTTTTAGTCTTATTAGAAGTATAACAAAAGTAAAATTTTCTTAAGTTATTAGTTCCTAAAACTTAGTCTAACAGGAATACAGTGTTGTCTAAGTACCTGAACATTTGTTTTTCCTTCTTTCCATCCAAGCTAGGAATTTGATGTATACCATCATTTTTGTTTCTTCAGAGTTTTTAAAAATTCATTTTGGCAGGCAAATCACAATCATGGTCATCAGCCATCGAAATACATGTGATTTAACTTATGTTTTGCCATATGTATGCAAGAATACTTTGAAAATCCTTATTTTGTTTGGAAGGATACGATTGGTAAAGTTCCCCTCAACTGCTTTTTTCTCACGTATTTAATAGGTTGCAAATTCAGAGGCTATGATTTTGGATAAGAATCTGGAGTCAGTTAATAGTCCAGTTGAAAGGCCTTCTGTGAATTATGAGCCTTCTAACCCTTCAGAAAAAGGAAGTAAAAAAATTAATTTGTCAGCAGATCAAAATAAGTCTGTTTCTGAAAGGTAGGTGTTTCTGCAAACATGCATAAATTTATCTAAATCTATAATAATGAATTTTTTCTTCATCACAGTTTTGGATCTTTATAATATTGATTATTCTTAACATTGACTCTTAAAATGTCCTATAGTTTTACTTTTACATATTATACTTCAGTTGTGGGTTTTTTTTGGTTTTAGGGTTTTGTGGGTGTTTTTGAGATAGGGTCTCACTTTGTTGCCCAGGCTGGAGTATACTAGTACAATCACAGCTCACTGCAGCCTCGACCTCCTGGGCTCAAGTGATCTTCCACCTCAGCCTCCCAGGTAACTGGGACTACCATACTGGGCTAATTTTTTGTATTTTTTTGTAGGGGCAGGGCTTCATCATGTTGCCCAGCCTGGTCTGGAACTCCTGGGCTCAGGCAATCTGCCTACTTCTGCCTCTGCCTCCCAGAGGGCTGGGATTACAGGCATGAGCCACTGTACCTGGCCCTATACTTGAGTTTTTAAAAAGAGGAAAACATAAAATCAAAGATAAGTAGATTGAATGATGGCCATTGTTTGAAGAACACCCTCTCCCACAAATAACTATGCGTACACAAGGAGGCTCTAAAACAAAGGAGAAGCATTACAGATCTAAACCATTTATGTTTGTGTTGGGGGATTTAACATGCAGTTGTGACCACATTTTGTTTTAAGCCAGGAAGCCTCTGTGAAGGAGGCATTTAGTTCATGAAGGCAAGAGCCGCATTTCAGTGACACTTTGTAGTGTGACCCCTTATTGATGCATGTGCTGAAACTCATGAAGTAACAAAAAATAAAAAGTGGTAGTGATGGAAGTGAAAAAGACACCATTAAAATAGCACTTTATAGAAAAATATATCCAATTTAGCAGTGGTTTGTGTCTGTTATATGAACAAATCGATCTCATGTTCTATTCTGAAGGAAGAACCCTGGGATTTATAAAACTGAGGTAGCACTCTCAGCCCATGGTGAATGTGCGGATAGGTGTAACAAATGTGTAACTTGAATCTGATGGCTTTAATGGTGAGTTTTATAAAATATTTAAGCAAGAAATAACACCAGCTTTAAGCAAACTCTTCCAAAGAACAGAAAAAAAGGGAATGTTCTTCAGCTCATTTTATGAGACTATCATAACCCTAATACTATTATAAAATCAATTTTAAAATTTTACAGAAATGGAAAATTACAGCCTGCTTTAAACCACAAAATAGATGCAGGTGTCCTAAACAAGATAACTAGTAAACCAAGTTCAATAGTCTACAAAAGTTGAGTTTGACTCAAGAGTATGGGAACCTTGGTTTAACAATTAAACATCAATTCATGTGACTGGGCGTGGTGGCTCATGCCTGTAATCCCAGCACTTTGGGAGGCTGAGGCAGGTGGATCACTTGAGGTCAGGAGTTTGAGACCAGCCTGACCAACATGGTGAAACGCCATCTCTACTAAAAAAAAAAATTAAAAATTAAAAAATTGGCCAGGCACGGTGGCTCATGCCTGTAATCCCAGCTCTTTGGGAGGCCAAGGCGGGCAGACCACCTGAGGTCAGGAGTTCAAGACTAGCCTGACCAACATGGAGAAACCCTGTCTCTACTAAAAATACAAAATTAGGCCGGGTGCGGTGGCTCACGCCTGTAATCCCAGCACTTCAGGAGGCCAAGGTGGATCACGAGGTCAGGAGATCGAGACCATCCTGGCCAACACGGTGAAACCCCGTCTCTACTAAAAATACAAAAAATTAGCCAGGCATGGTGGTGGGCACCTATAGTCCCAGCTACTCAGGAGGCTGAGGCAGGAGAATGGCGTGAACCTGGGAGGCGGAGCTTGCAGTGAGCCGGGATCTTGCCACTGCGCTCCAGCCTGGGCAACAGAGCTAGACTCCATCTCAAAAAGAAAAAAAAATACAAAATTAGCTGGGCATGGTGGTGCATGCCTGTAATCCCAGCTACTCGGGAGGCTGACGCAGGAGAATTGCTTGAACCCAGGAGGCAGAGGTTGCAGTAAGCCAGGATCACACCATTGCACTCTAGCCTGAGCAACAAGAGCAAAACTCCATCTCAAAAAAAAAAAAAATTAACTAGGCATGGTGGCACGAACCTGCAGTCCCAGCTACTCGGGAGGCTGATGCAGGAGAATTGCTTGAACCCAGGAGGCAGAGGTTGCAGTGAGCTGAGATCACGCCACTGCACTCCAGCCTGGTCAACAGAGTAAGACTTTCTCAAAAAATAAAATAAATAATGTGATTTGCCTGGAGAAAAACCATTATCAACTCACAACTCACTATAGATACAGGACTTGATAAAATACCCATTTATGATTAAAATAAATTCTTGGCAAACTCAGAATAAGAGGTAACTTCTTTAATCTGACAAAAATTATCTACAAAAACCCTAAGACAAATCTGATGGTGAAACATTGGAAGTGTTCCTTGGAGATACAAAAGAAAGACGCCTGCTGTCACCATTTTATATAACATACTGAATGTCTTAGCTAATGCAAGAATGCCAAAAAATTGGGGGAAAAAGAAAAATACAAAGTATAGTAAAGAAGGAACAATATTATTACTATTTTTGGGTGACTGGGGTGTGTATGTATGAAATCCAGTGAAGCCTACAGATTATTAAAATTAATAAGAGTAAAAGAAGATTGCTGAATTCAAATATCTAAGAAATCTTTTGTATTCCTTTTGAGAATACAAGGTAGAAACAATTAGGAAATAAAATTTTGGAAAAGCTGTAATACCATTATAGAAGCCCCAAAACTTATCAGGTACCTGGGAATACATTTAATAAGACAAACAATAGCTGAAGAAAATATAAAATGTTAGATATTAAAGAGAAAGCAATTTAAAAGATATACTATATAAATATAATACTCCTTTGTCCACATCATAGAGTACAATTTCAGTCAGTATCTCAGTGTGTAATTTTATAGAACTTAACGTGATTCTAAAATGCAATGGGTTCAGAGCTCAGGATACTGTTTAGAGAAACAAAATGGAAGGAATTTGCCGTCAGATGTTAGGATATTACAAAGCTACAGTAATAGCAGAGTATGAGATAGGCACGTGCTAGACAAGTAGATCAGTGTAACAGTAGAGAGTCCAGAAACCCATGTATGTATGTACGTGTGATATGTGGTGGAGACTGTGTGGCAGTCAATCATTTGGGAAATGATTGACTTTTAGTAAATGGTACCATCTTGTTTGCTGTTTATGTTGGGGGAAATATGAAATTGGACCCCTATGTAAAGCTATAAAAACAAACTCATGTGGATTAAGGAACTAAAAATATCTAAAGGAAATTATAAAGCTTTTAGAATATGTATTATAAAGCTTTAGATATTAGAATTATATTAGAATAGAATATTAGAATATTATAATTATAGAGCTTTTAGAATATATAATGTCTTCATGAACTTGGGTAGGGAAAGATTTCTTAAGATATAAATGCCCTTGCCATAAAAGAAAAATGGATTAATTTTACCACATTAAAATTAGAAACTTCTTTTCTCAAAAGGCACTATAAAGATAGTGAGAAGACAGGCCATCCGAGTTGAAGATACTCGCAGCACATATACCTGTAGAGGACTAGTACGCAGAATATATATAAAGAACTTCAACAAGTCAATGAGTAAAAGCCAAATAATACAAAAGAAAAATGGGCAAAAGACTTGTGCATCCACTTCACAAAAGAGGAGTTCGAAATGGCCAATAAACATATGAAAAGGTGTTCATTAGTAATCAGGGAAATGCAAATTAAAACCACAATGAGATATCATTTCATATCAGGTAAGGAAAAAATACATTTAAAAATCTGACTACTGGGTATTGGTGAGGTTTTGAAATAAAGGAAGTTGTATTTAATATTTTGTTGTTGGGTGAGTAAATTGGTATAGTAGTCTAAAAGAAAATTGGCATTATCTGGAAATATCAAAGATATGAATATCCTTTGACCTGGCAGTCCCATCTCTTGATATTCCCTAGTTAGAGGTATGCCTATTGCATGTTGATATGCCATAGAATATATGTATAGGAATGTTTATTAGCAGCATTTTTTATAACGGCCAAAAACTGAAAGGAAAGTGTCCATCTACAGTTGAAAAGGAAATTACAGTAAATCTGTACAGTGGAATGTTGTGCATCAATGAAAATGAAGGAACTGCAGTCACATGCAACAGTATGGATTATTCCCACAAAGTATGATTGGAAAGCAGACACAAAAGACGTGTATGATTCCATTTAAATGAAGTTCAAAAATAGCCATAAAGCAAAGTGTATGATTCAGGGATCCTAAGCTGCATAGTAAATTTAGAGAGTAAAACAAGGAGATTAGTACCACATATGCCATTTATGGTGAGGAAGTTTATGATACAGGATAGAGGCATATGGATTTCTTAAGTGCTGATAATTTAAAATTTTCTTACCTGAATATGGCTGCACGGACACTAGCATTGTATTTAATCAGCAAAGTGATGTATGCTTAGTGTAATCTGACTGATGTGTGTGGATTTATAATTACAATCTTACTATCTGTTTTCTATTTGCCCAGTTTTATGGTCCTTTTCCTCATATGTATCTGTCTCTCTGTTTTAGCCGTCTTTTGAATTAATCTTTTTTTCCATTCCCCATTACCTTGTTAATTTTACCGTTTTCATTATTCCCTTAGAAGTTATCCTGATGATATGTATTCTTTACTCATTGGAGTACTACTTCTGCTCTTTTATAGACAATGCTTGATCTTAGAATACTTCAGCTTTGTTTACTGTTTTCCCCATCTTATGTGTTTTTGTGCACTTCAATTTTACATTAAGTCCCAGAGGATGACTACTATGTACCATCATTGTTTATTTAGAGTTACCCACATATTTATGTTTTCTCTTGCCCATTTCTTCCTGTAGTTTCATCTTTCCATCTGGGCTCATTTTTTTTTTTCCACATGAAGATCTCTATTTATTATTTCTTTTGCTTTTAATTCTGCTTAGAAAAAAATGCGGTCAGTTTT